AAAAAAAAAAAAAAAAAAAAAAAAAAAAAAAAAAAAAAAAAGCGCGGATTGGCCACGACAGTCCCACCCCCCCCTCTCATCCCCACACACCCACGCCCCACACCCAGCCACCCTGCGCGCGCCCCGCCCGGCCCGCCGCTAACTCCGGGCCGGGCCTCTCCCGCAGCCGCGGCCAGGGGGGCGGGGCCGGCGCCCGCGCCCCGCCAATCAGAAGCGGCCGTCCGACGCTCGTGGCCAATCCGCGCCGTGCCGCCCCGCCCCGGGTGGTTTCGACGGAAACATTCCAAAGGGATCCCTCCGCCTCGCCCGGCTCTTCCCGACCCACTCCCCCCGCGCCGCGGCGCAGTGGACCTTCCCACCCCGCCTAAGCCACGGCAGGCTGTACCACCGTAGGGCGCGGAGGGGGGACCTGAGGCTGGGCCCCTGCCAGTCGCGGGGAAGGAAGGAGACGAGCAGCCAATGGGAAGCTGGGGCCCCTGGACCACGTGCTGGTGGCTGAGTGTCGGTCTGGGGTGTCCTGGGTGGTAAGGGGCGGGAGGGACTGGGGGCTGGTCATCAGGTGGCCGAGGCTGAGTTTCGCCAAGAGGTAAACTCCCCACGTCCGGAAAAGCTGACCCTTTAGGAGACCCGGGAGGGGGCCCAGGGCAGCCCCCGATCCCCTCCTCCTCCCGGTCTGCCCCCGACCCGGCCCGGCCATCCTCGGAGCGGATAAAAGGGAGGCATTCATTCCAGGCCGGCGAGCGGGCGGAGGATCGAGATGAATAGGGAGGGTCCCGAGTGTCCCTGCTTCCTGGGATGGACAATGGACAAGGGCATTCATTCATTCATTCATTCACTCGTCAAATATTTAATGTGCTGCTGCTCCGTGCCAGGCTCTGGCCTACAGACACACCAACGGGGAAGCTGAGTGTGCTTCTGGTAGACGTAACAGCGCATGCAGAAGGCCTGGAGGCCGGACAGAGAGATACAGCACATTTCAGGACAGTGCCGTATCCTAGGAGCTGGCAAAACCGGGGGAAATGGTGTAATGGAAGGGAAGACAAGGGGGAGATAGACTGTCTGCTTGTTGGTTAGGCCAGCGGATGTTTACTGAGCACGTAATAGGTGCTAGACTATAAGGGGTACCCAACCAGCCCAAGCCATTTCTCTTTCATGAGGCTGTCTCCTCCATCTCAGTGCTCCCCACCCACGCCCGGGTCCTGAGACTGGCACAGAGCAGGGTGACAGCACACATGTGTGAATCTCACCGTCGCCAGGTTTGGCTTGTAACCGAGAGGTCTCAGGCAGGAGGAGGTCCAAGAAACACAGACAGGAACGCACCTCATGCAGACCAGGACGCTGAGTTCCCAGGACAGGTGAGATTTCCTTGTTCTACTTCAAAGCCGGGGCCGCTGGGGCAGTTGGGGCTGGGCCAGGGGCTTGCTGTGTGTTCTGGGAATTGTAGTTCTTGGAGGCCCCTAACGGCTGCGACTCTGCTCAAGCTTCATTAAATAACTGGGTCTCTGCAGTCCCCAGGGTGAGTTGTTGCACATCCCAGCCCCGCCAGGGCCTACCGAGGGGAGAAGAGGAAGAGGAGAGTGGGGCCTGGGCTTAGCCGCTGACGGCTTCGAACGAGGCCGGCCCCACCCAGCTGGCAAACGCTGCCACTGCCGTGGCAACAGGCACAGCTATTGTCCTTCGCTTCCTGTTCTGCTGACCTCTGCCATCCCCACTGAGTGATTGGTTGCTGTGGCTGGGCCAGTGTCCTCTGTGGGACTGCACCCACTGCCCTGCTTGTGCCTGGCATCTGAGCTGCCTCCCACACACCTGAAGAGGACAGTATGTGGGGCCACGGGGACAGCAGAGTCCTGAGCAGATTCCACCTGGATCCACCTGTTGACTGATGAGGCGCCCAGGGAGGGGTGTGGGGGTTGTCCAAGGGCGCAGAGGTGGCCACCTCTTTACCCAGTGTTACAGCTCAAGAGGCTGGGGGGCCCAGCTGCTGAGGAGCTTAGACCTGAGCGCTACCTCTGCCCCTTTGGGGGGAGGAAAAAGTCTGGAGTGCCAGCTAAAATGTGCCGAAGGAAAGATTGAGTGAGAAAATCCCCATTTTGCAGCCAGTAGAGGAATAATTAATTCAGGCTAGGCTCCTCAGTGGGGGAGTAGATATTCACACAGTCTCAAAGGACCAGCCCACAAATTACTTGTTAATTACAGTGGGAAAAAGATACCTCAGAAAATTCACCATGGAGAAAGTTGGCAGTCACCACTTTAACCAAATGATCAAAATTAACATCATCAGGGATGGGACAGGCTGACCTCACATGCATCTTGCTGTGATGTACTGAGAAGGACACCTGCAAAGTACTTGGTCCTGTCCAAAGTCCTTAACCTGAGTCTAATCATAAGGACACAACCAGATACTTTCCGATTAAGGGGCATTCTGCCGACAAACAAACAAACAAACAAACAAACAAAAAAAACCCAAACCAAAAAACAAAAACCAAAAGTGCCTGGACTCTTCAAACAGATCTATGTCATGAAAGGGAAAATCAATCTATTCATCCAATGAATGAAGGAGTGAATGAATGAAATGCCGGGAAACTGTTCTAGACTGAAGGAAACAAAGAGATGACAGCCAAAATCAATGTATGATCCTTGATTGGATCCTTGATAAAAATTTCAAAAAGAAAAGGATGAAACAGCTACGAAAGATATTCTGGGGATAATCGAGCATATTTGAATGTGGGTGGATCTTAGATAATATCATATCCAGGTTAAGTTTCCTCAGTGTGGGCATTGCACCGCGGTTGGATAAGAGAATGTTCTTATTTGTGGGAGAAACACACTGAATTCTTTAGTGGTATATTTGCGATGGTTGCGACTGCCAAATAGCTCAGAAGAAAACCATAGGTGTATATATATTATATACAACATCATAATATGGTATACATTAGTATTAATATAGA